AGGTCAGCTGTGTTAGGGGTGGTTTTTTGGTTAGTGCACCATAAGTAGTTAAAGGGCTAGGGCGATGGCTAATCTTAGGGTGTGGTACGATTCTGGGATGGATTGGTGCTTAGGTTTTGAGCAACTCTTTGGGTGAGGCTTGTTAAATGGGGGTTACAAGGATTTTCTTTCTTTTTTGGATTGTCCCCCTCATTGAATTTGGCGAGAAGGGTTTTTTATCATTTGGAGTTAGGAGTTGAAATTATGAATGACGAATTTAGGGGTTATTGTGTGGGGTAATTAGGACATAGCATGGGAGTGGGTTGGTAGGGTGCCAGTAGTGTCGTGCACGACACCCTGACACTTTGATTTTTACTTTTGTCTTTTTTTTAATTAATTAAAAAATTAAAAATATTTTGTTTAATTAAACAAAATAAAAAATCAGGGCCTAATTTGAAAAAACTCAAACAAAATTCAATATCTACAGTTGCTTCTATTTGCATATTTATAAGAATAAGAAATATGGTAAAAACGTGATAACAATTTTGTTTGGGGCTAACTCAAAGATTCTTCAAAAGTTTTTGTTTGTTTGTTTTTTTTTTGTTTTAAGGTTGAAGATTAAACTATGAGTCAGGTGATAAAGAACAATCGAGATAACACTGTAAGAAGGAAAATAAAAAGTTGATCAAGATAACACCGCAAGTCAAAAAATAAAAAACAATTAAGATAACACCGTAATTCCAAAAATAAAGAGTGACCAAATAACACCGTAAGTCAAAAAATAAAAAATAATCAGGATAATACCGCAAGTTGAAAAATAAAGAATGATCGAAACAATACTGTAAGTCAAGTAATTAAAGAATGATCAGAATAATACTGCAAGTCAAAAAAAGTAAAGACGACAGCTAAATTGAGTTTGCGTGCTATCTAATTTCGGGCTTATGTGCCAACTAGACTAAGCTTAAATTTTTATTGGGTGCCAACTAATCTGAATTTAAAATTCATTAGGTGTCAACTAAATTAGGCTTAAATTTTAGTATCAGCTAAGTTGGATTTAAATCTTCTCATAATATCATAAACTACAAATTGGGCTTAAAACATGATAATTTGAATGGAAAAAATATTAAGGTGGATTGGAGGGTTCATAAACTACAAACTTTTGAGTGTAGCTTGGATTTAATGTTTGGCTATAAATTGGGAGGCAAAATACATATGAAAGCATTTGTAACAAAAAAAAAATTTCTTTCATTTGATAAATCTCATCTTGTTCGTCTAAGATCAGAAATATGAAGGTTTAAAGTTTGGATGTCTTTCCATGTATTAAGTTTTTCTTTAAAAGGCATAAGTATAAAAAAATCTCTAAATTAAAATTAAATAATCGATCAAATCTTTATCATTTTATTGTAGTAAATTAAATATTCAAATATATATTTTCATTAATTAAGTTCTTACTAGATGAAAATTAATTAACGGCCAATATCTATTTCCTTATATTAAGTGAAAATAGATGTTTAAATGTTTAATTAAATGAAAATAAAAGTTTGAGAACTCTATTAATTATAATAAAACAATAAAAATTTGAATAATTATAATTTTTGTTTAAAAACTTTTTTTTATATAAACCAAAAAATACTAGCAATGTTTATATAAAAAATTGGGAGAATATCATTTTCACTACTTAAAAATCATTGAAAGTTTCCACTATTTCATTTAAGGATAGTAAATGCACTTAAAATTAAATTTAGTATTGAAATTTAATATAAAAATAATTAAAAATTAATTAAACATATAAAAATGATTTAAACAAATATTTATTATAAATTTAGTTGAAAGTGTATTTATCATTTTTAAATAAAATAGTAAAATTTCTATTGATTTTTAAAAAGTGAAGAGGATCTTCTTCCAAAAAAATTACCAAATTCTATATTCTTAAGAAAAAAAAAAGAGATGAAACAGACAAACCAAAACCAGAAGCTCAATTTCCAGGGCTATACTTTGAAGCTTGTGAAAGGAATTAAAAAACTACAATACAAAATCTTTGACATAAAAACAGAATTTGCAATTAAAAAAAAATGGAAAAGGTATATGTTAAATTAAATGTAGGTCCATCATTTCTGGGTCGTTTCTCTTATGATTTTCCATTGATAATGGCAGTTGTAGAATTGTAGATGGAAGCCGGCTCTCAAACCCAAATTATTAATGCAAGAAGAGGTTGAACTTGACCCACAATTCAAAGGATGTATCACTGATAATAAGCCGGCTACCCTGTCTAGATTCCTGCACGTAATTCTGCAGATGGATGAGCCGAAGCTACAAAAACCAAACAGACTTTTATTATTTATTTATTTATTTTTAAGGTTATATTGTTGTCATTAGGGCTGTAAACGAGTCGAGCTGAGCCAAATAGTGAGAAGTTCGAGCTCGATTCATAATTCGGGATTCGATACTCGACTCGAGTTAGATCGAGTTTTATTTTTTAAGTTCGAGCTTGATTCGTGATCGAATTGGAGCTACTCGAGCTCGCTCAATTAAGCTCAATTAATATGTAAAAATAAGCTCGATTCGTATACTCGACAAGAGTTCGATTATTCATGCTCGAACTCGAACTCGGACTCGAAATATTTTATTAATTAAAATAATAAAAATATATTTAAATATAAAAGTTCGATTAGGCTCGCGAGTTACTCGAGTCAGATATAAGAATACTCGAATTCGGCTCGATCGATAAGTCAAGCTACTCGAGCTCGAGTTCAACTCGACAATAATCGAACTGAATTCAAGTTTTTTTCGAATCGAATCCGAATAACTTACGAGTATTAATGTATCATTTACACCCCTAATTATCATGTTATGATCTGATGAAATTTTGAGACGTTTATGGTGGATCAAAGGCGGTTGGTTTACAAAGAACAAATAAAATTATTTAAAGTTACATAATTTGGACCGTACGCACTCCCATTTGTGAAATGTGCATGGGATAATCAATATTCAATGCTAGAATGGGCACAAAAATATTCAATGTTATTTTGTGGAGGATGTACTATAATCCATAAATCTTAGTTGGTATTTGTCAATTTGGTTGCCCACTCCCTCTTTCTTTAATTTTATTAAGTTGATTTTTTAACTTTAAAGAAATGTCATTTTGTTTCGTGCTTTAAATGATGGAATTTGATCAAATATCTAAAGTTTTTTTATCATGAAGTGATTAGTTGATAGAATTTTCGTCATCAAAATTCAATACCTAATAATTTTAAATATAAAAAATAATCAAAAGATAATGTTTTGAGAGAAGATTTCATTTTAGTTTAATACTGTAAACTTAAAATTCCTAATTTTCTTTATTAGCAACGTTTTGTTTTTCCTCTTTTGATCCAAGAACGATCATTACCATTTGGAAAAATCTTTACCCGAATCCCACTCCATTATTGCTGTATGTGAGTCAAGTTTTAAAGGGGAAAACATTATATGAAGTTTTAGAGATAAAATTCATGAAATTTTTTATTAGAAATGAATAAATAAATATTAAAATTGATAAATCAAAAAATCAAATCACGTAAATCAAATGTATAAAATTTTAAATAAATTTTAATATATTTATTAAATAAATTTTTTAATAAAAATAATGACAAAATTTTTATGTTTGAATAAATATCGATCAAATTTAAATTATAAATAATATTTTTAATAATTTTTTTATATATTATTAATTTTTACATTAAACTCTATTTATTTATCAAATCAAATTTTTTATTAAAATTTTTAATAAAAAATTTTACGAACCCCATCTATAAAATTTTATATAAATTTTATCCATCCTAAAGTGGATTCGAAGAAATGCTCTTTATCCTATCCTCTTTTGTCTTTTTTTTTTTTTTTTAATAATTATTCCCAACAACAATAATAGAGTGCTTTCCAATTATGGATGCATTCTGGGGGGCATCCAATAATCAGATTAATGTAAAAATATTTGTATCATAAAAATATTAACAGTAAAAAAAATAAAAAGTTAAAATATTCTTTTGTTTTCCGTTGAAACATTATTTTATCATTAACCTTTTTATTATTTTTAATCAAATTTAAAAGTACAATAATAAAATTGTATCTGTTCAAATATAAACGAATGTCTTTATTCTCTAATATGGTTTAAAAATAAAAAACAAAACATAATGAAAAAGTTAATTAAGCATAAAGGAAGGTTTTATTTCGAACCTGTCATATCCTCTAACTGGACCGTCGGTTTAAGATGCTTTTTTTTTTTTTTGCCATCTTAATGAGACAAACAAAGCACGCTCTAATCGCATCAATTTCAACTTTGGATTTATGCTCTTTTTGAATTTATTTATTTCATAATTAATTATCAAGTGTAGTTACTTTCCAATTATTCCTCAAATTTTATTTTATTTTATTTTTTTACTTTTGCGGAAGTTGTTAAATTAAATATTTGTCCTAAATCATGACCAAAAATAAGATACATAGAAGCTTAATTAGTAAATAAAATGAAACGTGTCTTAAGCAGACATGAAATGGAAGACAAAAGGAGAGACTGTGAACTGATCGTTTTATAAAATTAGATGAATTTTTTATTTTCTTTTTCTAACTTTATAAAGTAATAATACTTTTCCTCTAGCAAAATAAATTACAGATCTTAGAAACCATTGATAAATCAACAAATTATAATTTCAGTTCTCAAGCCCATTCAAGCTTCAGCATCATAGGCAAAGAGCTTTCAATATTCTTTCACTATTTTATTATTTCATATTTCTTTTTTTTATTTTTCAATATTTTAAATATTAATTATTGATAATTAGCATAATATCTACACGTTGGAGGCTTATGTTTATTTTACATTTTTGCTGAATGGAGAAGATTAATTATTATTTTTTTGGTGCAATTTTTTTTCAAAGATTAATTTTTGTTTTTATTTTATTGGGCAAGAGAAGCCCAATGGGCTTTTGAGTCCATTATAAAAGAACTTTTTAGCAAACCCTAAAAGGTTTCTAACGGTAAAGTCCACCCAACGGTCGAGAAAAGAATTCAAATTCGAAAAATTTCCTTTCCAAATGCAGCACTATCAGACGCATCCATTTTTCTCTTCTTCCCTTTACGGACACTTGCAAAAGAGAATCCAATCAAATCTCAAGACTTTTCTCTGCAACCAAACACTACCAAAACTTTGATTTCCCAATGGATAATACCCAATTAAACGCCTTTCTCCAAAACCCAGAAACCCTTTTTCCCAATTCCTCTATTCCTAGGGTTTACTGGGAAAAAGGTGATCTGGCCTTGAATCAAGATAACCCTAGTTCCGCCATGGATCAAGATGAAGAAGAAGAAGAAGAATCTTTGGATGATTCAATGCTTTGTGATTCTAATTCAAGGCTAATCCCATCTGGGTTTTCCAAATATAATTGCACAGGTAAGTATTTTTTAAATTTCATGATTTTATCTTGTTAAACTCATAACTATATAACCAATAACAAAATTCTGGAAAAGAAAGCGATTAAAATTCTTTTTCTAGATAAATTTGCCATAAAAAAGATATTTTTTTGGTGATTTGATTATCTATGGATTCTTTTTTAATCTTTTTAAGTACATGTACTATACTAGAAATTGTATGAAATAATATAGAAGAAAAAAAAAAAGAGAAATTATGTTCAAACTTTTTAGGTTGCTTTTATTATTTATAAATGGTTATATTCTATTTTCGTATATTAATTTAATTCTATGAGTAAATTATGAAATTTGGACTTATTTTTAGTTCTTAATGGTATATAATTCAATTGAGGTTGCAATCTTTTTCTGGTTTTTTATATAATTTACAGATGAAATTGTGATGTTTATAAATGCTGGAGGTGAGGCTTTAAATGAAGCAGATTCAAGCATGAAATTTCTGGCGGATAGTTACTTTGATGGAGGAAGTGTTATGTGGACTAATGAGCATATAACTGAGGCTGGGGATTATCCAATCATTTATCGGTCCGCCAGACTTGGGAGCTTCTGCTACAGGTTCAATAATCTTCCTCCCGGAAACTATTTTATTGATCTTCATTTTGCAGAGATCATAAACACTAGCGGACCTAAAGGAATGAGGGTATTCAATGTCTATATGCAAGAAGAAAAGGCAAGTTAATTAAGTAAAAATATCAGTTTGTGTTGAGATTTTTCACAGCATAGAAATGTTGAAATTTTGGTGTCAATATGGCAGATACTATCAGATTTTGATATCTTCTCGGTTGTTGGAGCCAATAAGCCATTGCAAGTTGTTGATTTGAGGGTCTCTGTGAAGGAGGATGGGCAAATTGCAATGAGGTTTGAAGGAGTTATTGGAAGCCCGACGGTTTGCGGGATTTGTGTAAGGAAAGCACAAAATATTCCAGGTACTTTATGGGCGTTTCCATTATTTGATTCATTCCCGGTTATAACTTCGGAGCATGTTAAAAGAACTGCTTATTTGAAACCTTGTTTCCAATCTAAGAACAGTTACTCAGGCATTGCAAGAATACCTTAAGTGCAACAACTGTGATGCTGACATAGAAGTTTCATCAGCTCAGGTTATTTAGCTTTGATTAGATGTTTTCAATAAGAGAAGTTAGGCTGCACTTTTTGCTTATTTAGACTTTTATTTTGGGCCTGCAGAAGAAACTTATTCGAATAAAAGTTACAGATAAATATGAGAAGAAGATACAAGAGCTCGTTACACAGTGCCAGCTTAAGACACATGAATGCCACGAGGCATGGATGTCACTGACTGCCGCAAATGAGCAGCTGGAGAAGGTCAGGATGGAACTTGACAACAAGATCTTCCGAACACGCACGCTAGGTAACCATCGTGTATATTTTCTAAGCCGCGCATAAGCATATTCTTTAAATTAAGCAGAAGAAGAATTGTTCTTCTATTGAAGAAATCTTCTACGGCGATGCTGATAGCAGTTGTTTACTTGTTCTTCGTGTTTAATGATGTGAGCAAATACATTTCTTGCATAACTGAACTTAAAAATTTCCATTCTTGCTAAATTATTGCTAGTTCCTCAATATTCTTGTATGTTTGAAGATTTCGAGTGGGGGAGGATTTGTGGTCATTAGTCTGGCTGACTTGATCTTGATCATAAATGCTGAATATAAGGCAACAAATGCTAAGTTCTACAACTAAAATGAAAAAAATTATGCAGAAATGTCTGACTAGTCTGGTGCTTCCGTTCCACAACCACATGGATACTCTTATAACTTGTTCCTTTTAAACTCCACAAATCTTTTCTTGTCAGATGAAACCTTGGGGAAACAAGGCGAAAATTTGAAAAATATTACTAGTAGGTACGAGCATGATACGAAGTATTGGGCAGAAGCAGTCAATGATTTGCAAGAGAAAATAAAGGTAAATGATGTTATCTTTTCAATAATCTCTTATTGCAAATAATTTCAACTACTATTGTTGTCACGAGATTATTTCTTGTAATGCATTTTATTATTGATTTGTCTGCAGAAAATGAAAAATGAACATGCTCAGCTCTCTCATGAAGCACATGCATGTGCTGAGTCGATACCTGACTTGAATAAAATGGTCACTGGCGTTCAGGCATTAGGTAGGGTCTTATTCAGCTTGGTTTTGTAAATTGGAGTTTGCATTTATGCATATGTATGGGCTCATGGAATGATTTTGCAGTTGCACAGTGTGAGGATCTCAAAGTGAAGTATAGTGAGGAGCAAGCAAAGCGAAAGGAGCTGTATAATCAAATTCAGGAAACAAAAGGCAAGGGTTTTTCTCCTTCCTGAGTTGTTTATAAAGCATCTTTTGCAATTTATCGTTGAAGATTACGAAGGAAAAACGCTTGTTACACTGTATTTTTTTAATGTCAGGTAACATCAGAGTCTTTTGCCGGTGCCGGCCACTAAGTAAAGAGGAGATATCAGCTGGTTGTGCTCCAGTTGTAGATTTTGATGCAGCAAAAGATGGAGACCTTGGAATTCTGACAGGTGGCTTCACCAAAAAGACTTTCAAGTTTGACCGAGTTTACACGCTGAAAGACAATCAAGGTAACAATTACCTGTCATTCTAGATACCAACTCTAATATACAACAACAAACTAAGCCTTATATCCCATAACTTTGGGGTTGGCTATATGAAATGCCCAAAAAAAAGAATCATGTTAGGTTGTAGTTTTGAATCTTCTTGAGCCACTCATTTCTATCAAAAACAACCTTTTCATCCACTTCTTTAACCCTCATGTCAAATACCAACTCTGATATAACCATTTAAAACCCTGTAAGATGCTGATTTATATATATATATTTTTTTGGCCTTAACAGTTGATGTTTTTGCGGATGCTTTGCCATTGGTGACATCAGTGCTAGATGGCTACAATGTCTGTATTTTTGCTTATGGGCAAACAGGAACAGGAAAGACATTTACAATGGAAGGCACTGACCAGAACAGAGGAGTCAACTATAGAACTCTTGAGCAGTTGTTTCAAATTGCCAAGGAAAGGAGAGAAACTTTTATGTATAACATATCCGTTAGTGTTCTTGAAGTTTATAATGAACAAATTAGAGACTTGTTATCCACATCATCAACATCAAAGAGGTGCGACAGTAGGCGCTTAACTAGTCACTTTTGAAACTTTCATGTATAACATATCTCTTAGTGTATTCACTTGGTTTGGTTACTAGGTTGGAGATAAAGCAATCTGCTGAAGGGTTCCATCAAGTTCCGGGAATTATAGAAGCCAAGGTTGACAACGTCAAGGAAGTTTGGAATGTACTGCAGATTGGAAGCAATTCTAGAGCTGTTGGATCAAACAATGTGAATGAGCATAGCAGCCGATCCCACTGGTATCAAGATCCTTCTTATCTTTTATTTTTTCACATTTCATTTAAAATGAATGAAGATCTTTCAAATTTTCTTTTGTCTTTTCCTCGTTAATTTTTACAAAGAGAAAATTTTCTTTTATCTTCAGCATGCTTTGTATAATGGTAAAATCAAAAAACTTGATGACTGGTGAGTGCACCAAGAGCAAGCTTTGGCTTGTGGATTTGGCAGGCAGTGAGAGACTGGCAAAAACTGATGCACAAGGGGAGCGACTCAAGGAGGCTCAAAATATCAACAAATCCCTTTCAGCTCTTGGGGATGTCATATATGCTTTGTCGATGAAAAGTAGTCACATTCCATACAGGTTCATTGATAGTATACCTTTCTCGACTATATAGTCCCCTTTTTTATTGTGTTTGACATCTTTTATTTGATTTCAGGAACTCGAAGTTGACACATTTGCTTCAAGATTCATTAGGTAAATCTGGAGGATTCGGACTGTAGTTGTTTTTGAAGAGGGTTAAATTCAAGTTCTGTTAGTCTTATTGGTAGATTTTGGAACAATCAGCCCTCCGGCACTACAACTAACATAGAGCTAGTATTTATCAGGGGGTGACTCCAAGACTTTGATGTTTGTGCAAATTAGCCCTTCAGAGAGGGACTTGAGTGAAACCTTGAGCTCCTTAAATTTTGCAACTCGAGTTCGAGGAGTTGACTTGGGTCCTGTTAAAAGACAAGTTGATACAAGTGAGCTCCAAAAGATGAAAATAATGGTAGGTCTAGTGGTTAAGTGCAGGAGTGTTTGCTTTCCATCAATATTACTCTATTATAAGAATGATCAAGTATTTGACTTCAACTACTTTTAAATTCTTATAAAGCTTGACAAAGCAAGGCAGGAATCCAGATCCAAAGATGAGTCTCTCAGGAAACTAGAAGAGAGCTTGCAGAACCTAGAGAGTAAGGCCAAAGGCAGAGACCAGGTTTACAAGAGCCAACAAGAAAAGATCAGAGAAATTGAAGGTCAATTGGAGATGAAAACTGGCATGCAGAAGCAGACAGAGAAGCAGGTCTCACAACTTTCAGATAGATTGAAGGGGAGAGAAGAGATTTGCACTGGTCTTCAACAAAAGGTTGTTATCCATTTAAAGTATGATTGACATATTGCCCTGTTGTGTTATTCACTCTAACTATAATCTATTATCTGCAAAAGGTCAAAGAATTGGAGACCAAGCTTAAAGAGCGACAACAATCAGAATCTGCTAGTTACCAGCAAAAGGTTTTGTTGTCAAGCCATTTATTTCCAGAAACAAAATTTTTTATGATTGTATTTCTTTTTTCTGTGTATGTCTGCGTCTTGTACTTTAATAAGCTTTAAAAGCAAAACTGATTGACAGTCAGTAGTAATTTGATTCAGGTTAAAGATCTTGAGAATAAGCTGAAAGAGCAAGTGCAAGAATCTGAGTCCCATTCACATGCCCTTCAACTCAAGGTTGCAAATATTAGCTATGTTAGTTTGTATTATCAATGAGCAAATAGAAAGTTTAACTAACCTGCTATGTTTCTTTTCCAGATAAGGGAGCTTGAGAAAAAGCTGAAAGAGCAAGAACAAAACCCAGAATCCATTTTGCTTTATCAAAAGGTCATAGCATACCTTTATTACGCTGGTGATTAATGTCCTAACTATCTGTCTGGCATGTAATGGTGCTCTTAGGATCTGAAACCATATCCCTTTTTTGAAGTAAAAATTACGAATAATTTCCAAGTGATAATGCCATTAACTTTCTTATAAAATAGGATATTTACATGGACTCAACTTTATTCTTCAATCCTTCTTTCCCCACTTGCATGAAATATCTTATAAAAACTGTCATTCATTTTGTCCACTTGAAATTGGAACATGCTACAATAATAGCTTGTATCATTTTGGTCATGAAGAAAATAGAATGTTAAAGCATTAAAATATATCTGACAATTTTCTGGCAGATTAAGGAGCTCGAAGATAGATTGAGGGAGCAAGAACAACAGTTGCAATGTGCACTAGCACGTGACTTCACTGATGTGATCAGGGCCACTCCTAATGAAGGTAAATGTAGAAGAGATGATGAGTTCACGAGTGAGGCTGAACCTCGTATCCTAAGGAGTTCGAACTCAATAGGTCGTCCCTTGAGTCAGGGGTATAAACAGCCAAGAGTTAGTGATTCTCTCCATGAGACAAGGAAGAAAAGGTACTCTAGAAGTGGTGAAACAGAGAATAATATGGTTATATCTGCTTCTTTGAATGATAAAAGGGCTAGGAAATCTGATCCACCAAAGATTGCAAGGGTTGTAAGAACAGCAAAACCAACTATGGTAACAGCAGCTCAAGGACCCTTGACTCATAAAAGGATTAACAGAGATCAGTTCCAAGCAGCAAAGGAGAGAGATAATAAGAAAAAGATTTGGTCAAGATAATTAAGCCAAAACTCCACAGTTATCTCCAACACTTCTTTGGAGTATTATGTAAGTAACTACTGCAAAAATTCCTTTTAAATTCAGTTAACTTTATAATCATTCATTACTCCCTAATTAAAATTTTATTTTCTGGCAACAATCGTGTGAATCTGTGGATAAAATGTTGAATTCTAAAATTAAGGATGGAGGATATGCTGATTGCCCGTCCCCTTGTCATTCCTAAATGCATATGCTGATTGCCTTTCCCAGAAATCAGAAAATGAAACATGTGGGCATATACCTAATCAACAGACTTTTTTTTTTTTTTGTAGAAACTGTTGATTTGGTGGACTGTCATTTCCAACATGCTGTATGATTAGATAGATGCTTAATGAATTTTACCATGCAGGCAAGCAATTAAGCACACTGATTCTCATCTAATCAAAAGATTAGAACTTCAGGAAATTAGCTTTGATTAACTAAAATGAACAAAAGCAAGAAATGATTATATTGTCTTTTTAAGGTGGTTTAAAATGGTATAAATGTTTCTAATTCTCACCTATTAAGAATTGTTAAATATTAAAATTAAAAGTATATATAAAAAATATATATATCAACGACAACATACGTTGTTATGCTAAACATCACTTTCAGTGATTTTGGTAGTAACAGAAGCAAAACAGCATAAGTACAGTATGTAAATACATTTTAAATATTTCTCTTTAGGTCACTTCATCTGGAAACAAAAAAAGTTTCATAATCATTCAAATGGCGGTAGAAATTTATCTCAATGAAAAAAAAGTTTCACACAAAATTTTTTTTTTTCATGAACATGAAAAACATGGATGCTAAAGAGAAACATATATCTATCAATGTTTGCTAAAAGCAACTAAATTGTATTTATGGAAATTGAATATATTGAGGTTAAAAAATTTACCATACAAATTCAAAGTTTATTTCAATTAATTTCATGTAATTATTTTTAAAAAAATAAAATTCAGTAAATTTGGATTCAAATCTTAATTAGCTCTTGTAATCTTTTTTTTTAATCATTTTTTGCGGTCTACTTTGTGAACAAAATTTTAATTATGTAATATTTATTGCTAAATAAAAACCACACTAAGTAGATAGTAAAAAGATCAATTGGGAAAGAAAAAAGAAAAAGGGAAATGGAAGTACATGGAGAAAATGCCGAAAATGAAATGATGATCGATGGTAGCCCGGTGGAGCTGGAACTGGAAGGTGTGGGAATGAGGGAGAAGTGATTTTGGTTTTTGAACTCCAAGAGTAGAAGAGGCCAAAAAGAGTGATGAGGGGCAATAACATTTTTCTCGTTTTAGTGGGGCTGGCCCTTTGTTTGAACACGTAATCACAGACACAACAAAACAGAAAAAAAAAAAATCTTGTTTTTCGTAGAGAGAAAGCATTTTTTACGTAATGAACGATGATGACACGATTAATTGATCAGGTATGTCTTAAAGTAGATACACTACCATATCCTTCGTTGGTGTCGCGCTCTTATTAAATAAGTTCATTTGAGATCAGAGCTTGAAAATAAGAAAAATGGTTGGATAATGTCCACCATCTGATTGACTAATGTTAATCCGTATCAAGGCTGAGCAATCTTAAGTTTGACCTTAAATTATGTTAGGTAGGTGAGGATGAGAATCAGCAGATAGTTTCCCACTGGCAATGTGCCATCACTCATGAGCTTCTTGCATGTTTGAAAGTTGTAAAAATGACAGTTCAGAGACACTGAGGACACACACCAACATCACTAGTAGTCTAACAAAAGTTGTTTGTTCGTTTTTTATTTTTTTTTACTCCCAATAAGACCACCTATCACGTTAATCACGCTCCCTCATGTTCTTCCTCATCAGTTTTCTTCTTCAGCCAACCATCTCTTTTTCTGTCTCAATACCACAAGTTAAAACATATATAGTACCATATATATTAGTTAATTATCTGATTATTATTACTATGTCCATTAAAAAAAGAAAATCAGAAGAATAAAACAAGTGGGTAAATGATTGCAAAAAACTTTTGTGCATATGAGGAAATATTGGTAGGGAAAAGCAGGAACATGATGTTAAAAGGAGGGAGTGGGGGACCTTTGGCAAAGGCAAAATAAGGAGTTTTTGGTGGGGAAATCATGGCCTTGTTTAGGTTAACATAAGCCTATAGAATGTTGTACATATAATGTGTAAAAAAAGTGGACAAAAGGCATAGATCAGTCAGTGCCAAAGGAGGGTTTCAAGGTTGGAAGATGTAATTACTTTGTTGTTGAGCTTTATACGGTGATGTAGGCCAAAAGAAAAGGGTAGAAAACAAGACAATATTTTCTTATGGAATTACACTTTAGTTACAATCATAATAAAATAATATTACATTCATACAAAATATTATTGAATTAAATCACCAAGGAACCAGCATATAATTTGTTCAAAGAGATATGGATTGGATTTCATTGGATTCAATAATTGTTATTTTACTTTTGTCTTCAAGTAGAACTAGAAGAGGAATGTTGAACATATGGAAGAAGTAGTAATTAAAATCCATGAGTTCTATTAATTATTTTCATGCTTGGAAATAAAAAGAAAGCTAGGACTCCCTATAGTCTATACGTTAATTTAATGAAACCAAAAAGAAAGAAAGAAAACTAGTGGTCAAAAATGTTCTCCTAGCTACTTGATTAATGCATGAGGACAAAGCTTAATGATTTGGATGTAAAAAGTAGTTGATTCATTTACTTCTATGTGAAAATCATGATGAGAATGATTGTGATTATATATGCAACAAGCTAGCCATTGCATGCACAATGAAAAAGCAATAAATGGGATTGAGATCAACATTTTTTTATTCAAGATTTAAATATAAAAAAATAGATAAAAATTATTTCCACCCCAATAACTTTAACATTCCCTAAAACTTGGGGAAAATGGAGGAGGTTTAAGGCTAATATCTTTTGCAATCGCAAGATTGTGGTGGGACCAAAATTTTTTTCATGTAAATAGTGAAAGTAATTAATAAAGTTGAGGCAAAGCAAAGGGAAAAGAAGGGAAAGAAGGGAAAAGCAAAGCTTTATTTCTTAGTCGCACCAGTCACAAACCGAATCACAAAGTGATTGTTGATCAGTGGCAATTAGCACGGAGGGGGGGGAGGGGGCTCACCCCCCAAGACCCTAAAAAGCTAAACACAACATTTTTGCGACAGAAAGAAACGAACCCTAAGCTTTAGATGCCCCCTTTCACTATTTCTCTCTCAATTCAAACGTTGACAGTCTTTCATTCAATAGAGTTTCAAACCTCTACTTTTTCAGACACTACCAAATCACACCACATTTCTGCAACTAATTATTAAGAAGAGCCCTAGGCATTGTGAGAGAGAGAGTCTGTGAGAAACAGGAAACAGGGCCCGGCTTAACACTGCAAGGCTAGGCGAGGAAGCTGGGCTACGCCAGCTACTTCTGCGGCCATGGTGTTTCATATATATGGTGACAAGCCTGAGGAGCCTGAGACTCAGTTCCCTGGTAGGAGAGATTGGGACACTGAGTACTCAACATAAAACAAATCAAAGATACGCCATTCAATCGCATTTAATAATAGTCCAAAATCCCATCACAGATCATATTGAGCAAGGAAGATAAATTTGTAAGGCATATCAAAGTTTTCAAAACAAACAGCTTCCCCCAAAAAAAGAAGAAGATATCTATGGAGATATTGATCAGTGTATCTAAGAACAAATGCTATGTTTTCATATTTCCCTGATTATATTCCTTTGATATATAGACATAGTAGAGCCAGCTACAGCTTTCACTTTCACCTAAATTTTAGGCCCTTTCATTGACAGCAGGAATCCAGCTGCTTGCTCCTGCATGTAATATATCTTTGTAGAAATATGCAAAAAAAAAAAAAAAGCACAATCATCAAAAGGTAAATATCAAACGCCAAATTCGTAGAAATAGAAAGAACACAAATTATAAGGTGACTAATGTTCAACATCTTACTAGAATAAATAATAAGAAAAAACACTATTTTTTTTTTAACCTCCAACGTTTACATGTTGATATCTGAACCCAATAAAACATTTTAAACAAGCAATTACCTAAAAGGGTTTTTAGAAAATATATTAACTCTTTCCCTATTTTCTTTTTTCTTTTTTCCTTCTTTTAAGGTCTCTTTACCTTTTTGATCCTTCTCTTTTTAGGGCAACGTGCTGTACTGATGCAAATCATTCCATGCTTGAACCCCATTCCAGTTGCTTGTATTATCATTGCCATTGCTGCTAGTGGTTGGAGTTGGAATTACCGGTGCATGAGAATTCCCAAAGAACCATTCCATAGAGGTTTCATTGCTTGTGCCTTTTCTTGGATTCTCAACAGCTGAAATTTCTGGTTTTGAGGCCTCCAGATTCTGGAACAAACTGGGTTGTGGCTTTTGTGCTTGGTTCTCAAGTGGAACTGAAGAAACACTAGTGCTATTTTCCTTTTTATTCTCTCCACCAAAAAGCATAGCTAATCTTTGCTGCTGCAACTTCCAATGTAAATCTTGGTTTATGGAACTTAAAGACTCAATTGAAGAAGCAAGGCTACTATTAACATTCAAGGAACCCATCTCCTGAGTTGCACCACTAAGGCCACTAGTAACTAAAGATAATGGATAATTACTAAACCCCATCAAAGAACTAGAGCTACCAGATGGATCAAGACTGAAAGAAGGGCTAGTACTGTCTCCATATGAAGCAAAGTGGTTGTAAATACCAGCTGGTGATGGATTAAGCCTAGGAAATGACAATCCACCAAGCTGAAAATCCATGGCTGGAGAAAGGCCGTGAAACAAGTTCAATCCACCCATCTCTGAGGATGAGGTGGAGTCTTTTGAGTCACCTGACAGCCTTGAAGATGATTTTATCTTCTTGTTCTTGCGGCAACCTCCACCGATTGGTACGTTACGCAAAGCCCCACCTTTAGTCCAGTACCTACGACAAGTCTTGCAAAAATGCCTTGGTTGAGTGAGACTGTAGTTGTTGTAGTAACAGAATTTCGTGTTGGGAGAATCACATCTTGGACACTTTGGGGCTTGCTCTTGTGGCCTTGTTGAGCCTGTTTTCCGGTTACCACTGTTTTGGTTTTCTTCTTTAGTAGCTGGTTTTACAGGAGGATTATCAGGAGACATCGTGGAAAGACAATACCAGAGAAACAACTTGAAAATTGAAACTGTGGGTTTGTTTCAAGGTTTTTTTTTTTTTTTTCAGTTTCCTTTTGCAGACGCAAAGATACTCAATTGATTGGATTCATGCATGGGATAGATAGCGAAAGAGAGAGAATGGAGTTGACGATGGGGTCTTGTGATATTCATCAAAGAAGGCTTTGGGGATATAGAAATTATTTTTTTATATATAAGCTGGGTTTTGTTTGAGGCAGATCTGGTGGAATAAATAAAGTTACATGAAAGAGAAGAGAGAGAGGAAATCAGGAAAAAAAAAAAAAAAAGATAGATCTCCCTAGAAAAAAGAGTGGGCAAACCATCAGTACTTCAAAACGATTTTTAAGGGGTTGTTTCTTAATTCTTTGTGAACAGAGATATAAAAAATTATTTCGTATAATAACTTCAACAATTTCATACTAGAACTTATTATATTTCTTTTCCTTTATTCTCAAATTAAGAATAAGTAGCTTAAATATTGCTAATTTGTTAAAAATAATGTGATTAAAAAAGAAATTTGTATTCTTTATCAAAGGTATTTAGACGTTTTATTTCACAGATGTAAAGTATTATCAAACAAAGCTACATTGTAATAAGATTATTCGGTTTAATCCTTATTTCATAATATAATTAATAAAGACAAAATAAGTCCTAAAAATATAATTTTTACAACACATCTTGAAATTATTTACTATTACATTTAATCTTTTATCTTGTACCCATTACATCTCACAAAAAAAAAATTATTTTTTTCTTTGGCAAGAAAATTTTAATTCAAATTGATTCTTTCCCGTTAAGCACTTCAATATTAATGTTTATATAAATTAAATAGTTGGGTTTGATTCTTCTCATTCTCATTGTATAAAAAGGTTTCTTCTTATTTTTTTTAATATAAAAAAATCATTTATTACTAAAATGGAAAGCGATTTACAATATAATTTTCTCCCCTAGCTCTTAATTCGTCATTTATTTCTTGGTAAAAATCTATTTTCTTTCTAGGAAAATGCTTCTATAATCCAATTAATTTAACATCAAATTTATTGGTTTCTAATTGCTTATGTAACATATACCAACGTGTGAAATTTCCACAAAGAGCAACAATAATGCTTATGTAACATAGACTAGAAATAAATTATTAAGTCAGGTGAAACAACTGTATTGGAAGGTCAAGGTATCATACTAGCTACTTTTTTTTTATATTCAATCACGCACCTTTTACAAAAAAAAAATAATAACTATATAAATTTCTCATTTATGCAATACTACTAAAATTGAGATGAATTCAACATGTTTTTAATAGGATGGAAATTAAATTAAATAAAAAGGTGAAAATAGAAGCTCATAATAATCTTTTAAGATGTGATGCAAATAAATAAATATTGTACACAGTCATGGTCCATGAATGTATGCATGAAAACCTGGATATGTGGTCTTACAGAATATATATATATATATATATGAGAGAGAGAGAGAGAGAGAGAGAGAGAGAGAGAGAGAGAGAGAGAGAGAGAGAGAGAGAGTTCTATAGTTACAAGTGAAAAAGAAACAATGGCAGAAGCACTACTGGCAGAAGTGGTATTAGTACTGGCAGAAGTGGTATTAGTAGAGCTGTAGGATTGAGTCAGAAAAAAGAGGAAACAGTAGCAGTGGGTCTCTGCCATGAGCACTGCTATCCCTCGTCTATTCCTCGCCATGTAATATCTCTTTTTCCTCTTCCTCAATTTATTGCTGCTAATTAATCGCCAAAACTAACTGGGATTTTTGGGGCCATAATCTTTAGTTTTAATTAATTAGGACACCTCTCAAAAAGTGACGAGTAAAAATAAGAACATTATGTTGAATTGAGTCGATATAGTAAAATTTTTAAATTTAAATTTTATTAAAAATTTATTATTTAAAATTTAATTTAAACTCGATTAAATTATAATTTTTAAATTTGAATATGATTTGAAATAAAGATTAAACTACTTGAATTTCTTAGATGAAACTTGTTTATTGATTAAAAATGGCATTAATTCTTATACTTCACTTCAAGCTCGAATTTAATATATATTATATTATAACATATAAGATTATATGATAAAAATTATTTATGTGGATATCTAAATAGATAGTCTTTTTTATTGATATATAAGATAATGCTTATATTATGTTATTTATTAAATAATTTTTTCATAAATTAGTTAAATTTAATATTTGAATAATTATTTAAATTTAAATTTAAATCTATCTAGGATTAAAAATTTTGCATAAGTTTTGAATTCAAATATATTATATTACAACATAAAAGATTACATGATAAAAATTGCTTACGTGGATATGTAAGTGGATAATCTCTTTTAATGACACATAAAATAATATTTATATTATTTTATTTACCTAATAAATTTCTTTAATAAATTATTTAAATTTAATATTTTGAATAATTATTTAAATTCAAATCAAAATCTACTTGAAATTGAAAATTTTGCATAAATTTTGAATTTACATATATTAAATCGTAATTTATCTTTTCTTTTTAAATTTAACCACAATTCTAAATATATATACTTAATAAAAATTTATTTTTTACCAAATAATTTTATTTAATAAATTATTTAAATTTAATATTTTTAAACATTTATTTAAATTCAAATAAAAATTATCAAAAATTGAAAATTTAGCATAAATTTTAAATTAAAAAATATTAAATCTTAATTTATCATATTATCAATTTAATCATCGTTCTCTATATATATGTGTGTGTCTGTGTCTGTGTCTGTGTGCTTAATAAATTATTATTTATTGAAATTAGAATTTGAGAATGAAAATAAAAAGTACAAGTGAGACCATCCTATTCAAGTCAAGATTTTTTTTTGTTATTATTAGAATTAGAAATTGAAGAAGATAATTTATTTTATTTGACAATTATGATTTATTGATTTTAACAACAAAAACTAAAAATAAGTGAAAGTCATGTTATACTCATGAACAAGTAAGTCTATTTTCTATCTTTATTACTTTTCCAAATATGATTTATATTGAAATTAATAATTAAGCAAAAAAAAAAAAAACTAGAATTTGAATTGACTAGTGTTTGTGCTGAGTTTCGATCTAATGATACTTCCGAAAAGACAGAAAAGAATAACAGTTAGAGGCAAAGGTAGGGAGTGTTTCCTATGTTTATATTTCGATGTGTAAGTTAGAATATGTAAGGCTGGAAGGAGAGTAATAAGGAGAATTATGAGTAGAATGAACTTGTCTTAATGATGCCTGGACCTTCATATTCATAGATAATCGATAAGAGACCATTAGAGGACAATAAGAACAGTACCAAGCTAATGTGGCACTGAATGTATCAGACCGACCTAACATGTTAGGTCGGCACAAATGTAAAAATTATTTTTGGTTGTTTGTTGAAGGCTTCTAACACGAAAAAAATATTATTATACCCTTTTAACCACTAAAATGCCTTTAACATTCTACCCCTCCTTCAAGTAGTTTGAGTATTAGACTATTGGATATACAATTGATACATTATATGCAGGACAGATAGGTAAAAAAAGATAAATTTGATTCATTATAGCCAACATCATAGAGGAGATCAAAATCGAAAGATAAGTAACTTTAAGTCGTGTCCGACCTAATGAGGGTCTAATTTTGTATGTATGTCTTGGGTTAGATGCATAACCGATTTGAAAGTTGTCGAGGTATTAATTGCTCGGGATGATATGAAATTAGTGCTGGAGTTTGTCTGGTCAACATGGGACTTGTGGTTAATTACTTAGGGGAGGTCATTCTGAGTGTTGGCTATTGTGCATTTTTGTTCCAACTCGGATGATCTATTTCCTTCCTTTAAAGTTTTTTTTCTTATTGATATTATTTCGTACTAGGCTAATGAATGGAAAAAAAGGCATTTACCTGACGCATCAAATATTTGTGTCGAGTTTCAATCTCAGGATACTCTTGAAAAGATAGAAGAGAATGATGGTTAAAGGCGAAGGCAAAAAATATTTCTTGCATTTGTACTCCGACGATCAAATCAGAATGGTGAGATCGAAAGAAGAGTAATAAGGAGAATTGCTCAAGATGATCCAAAATTAGTGCTGGAGTTTGTTTGGTCAACGTAGGACTTATGTTTTATTACTTGAGGGAGGTCGTTCGGAGTGTTGGTTATTATGCATTTTTATTCCAGTTGGGACAACCGTCTTTCTTTCCTTTAAGGTTCTTTTTCTTGGTGGCATTGTTTTGTGCTCGGCTAGTGAGTAAAAAAAGAGGCCCCTGCTGGGCATACCAAATATTTGTGCTGAACTCCAATCTAAATGTACTCTTGATAGATAAAAAAAAATGACGGTTAGAGACAAAGATAGAAAGTATTCCTTACGTTTGCATTCCGATGCGTAAGTCAAAATAGATGAGGTTGAAAGAAGAGTAATAAAGAGAATTAGGAGTAAAATGAACTTACTTTAATGGTGCCTAGACCTTTATATTTATAGATAAACGATAAGGGACCATTATGGGACAATAAGAATAGTACCGAACTAATGTAGCACTAAATATGTTAAACTGACCTGACATGTTAAGTCAGCACAAATGTCAAAATTACCCTTGATTGCTTGCTGAAGGCTTTTAATATGAAAAAAGATTACTATGTCTTTTTTACCATTAAATGTCCCTAACAACCAAGTATTAGGATTTATTTAGAACTTATATCGTGGTTGACTCTAAGTTAATAAGTTATTGACTATACAACATGTATTACTAAAGTAATAAGATTTTGTATCTTTATATGAAAAGATGAGATATTTAAATGTGGCTCAAGAAGTTAGATAAAAGTCTTTTTTTGTTTTTAGGAACAAATATAATGTTTTATTTATGTTTTAATTCAAATATTTTTATATTATAATTTAGTTAATTTATTTGTTTTTCTTTAGTCCATTACTTTTTTTAAATTTGATTTAGATTGATTATAATTAACTTTTCATATTATA